GGGGGGGTCGAAGTGCGGCGAAATCAACCGACGACCTGCCGAAGCGCGACAACCGCCCGCGATAGCCGATCAAGAGTGCGTGCGTGTGTGTGTGCGCGAGAAACAAGTCGAGATGGTTTCAGACACTACAAGAGACGTGCGACGTGCAGCCGGCGGCGGCGGCGGGCCGCGGGTAAGCTCTTCTTGACTCTATCCCGCGGGCTCCGCGCCGCCACGCCGCGCCACGCCGCCGGGCTGTCGCGGTCATGACTCGGCACATCGCCGCGGGCCGGACACGCTACGCACGCCCGCGTCGCGTCCCGGCGGCGGCGGTGGCGGCGTCTCTGGCGGCGACACGGGCGGCGCACTTGGGTGTGCCACGCCCCCGGCCCCGGCCGCCGCGGCCCCAGGAGCACCCAGCTCTCTGGCACCAGAGCGTGAGCCGCGCGAGGAGCAGAGACATAACCTACAAGAGCGCCGCCGCCAGTGAGCTCATGGGAGGCTCCAGGTTCGTACGCCCCTCCGCCGCCCCTGGCCCGGCAGCGACACGGCGTGTCTAGACCTTGCGCTGCGCCGCCTCTGTAAGGCCCGCCGGGCTGCTACCCGCGACGCCCTTCGTACCGTAAGCCTGGCTCTAACTGAATTGAGCTCGGCCCGATACGATACTGCTAAGAGGAAGCAGGCGCGTGCAGAAGGCGACGCAGATGAAACGCAACGTCGCGCGCAGCAGTCTGAGTCTGACGCAGGGCTCGGTGACTCGACCCCGAGAGCCTCTTTTTCCGGTTGTGGTGCGAGAGAGATGGCAATCGAACCCCCGAAACTTAAAGAGAGCGGGCGCGGACGGGCCCTGGCGTGACGTTGACGCGCGTTGACGGCAAGCTTAGCTCGTCCGCGTCCGGGTGTGGGCCTCACAGGCCGGTGACGCGCAGGGGTCGCCGGCGTCACTCACCACCAGTCATCCGTCTGCGAAGACTCGCTCTTCTGGTGGGTCCGGGGCCGGGCCGCAGCCGCAGCCGCAGCCGCAGCCGCCAGCTGGTCCGGGACGGCGGTGATCTTGGGCTTGTTCATGTTGGCGAAGGGGAGGAGCGCATGGCCCGACACGGCGGGGCGGGGCGGCGCGGCCAGGGGCGCACAGGTGTTGACACGGGGCGCGGCGGGGCGCGGCGGGGCGCGGCGGGCGGGGTGCG